GTGAGGTAAAGATTTAAACTCAGAACCTTTTGATGGGAAATTAGGTACCTTAACTAGTTGAACTAGGTTCAAGTTCGCAAACAGATATCAAATTGTTAGTATATCTGTTGTTCGATTTCGCAAGTATACGAATCGTCACAAGTAATATAAAAGTAAGTAAACTATCGTCTCCACAGGGAATAAATGATTACTAATTATCAAATTCTCCACTTCAATTTTATCTGAATATGGAACGTTTAATGATGGTGAAATGAAGTAATTCTAAAATAAAGTAGTTCAATAACTAGGGGTGAGCATCGGTCGGTCGGGATCGGTTATTGGCCGACCTCGAAAACTTTCTTTTTTTCCATCTCTTTACAAATCGACCGTTTAACCGACTGTTTGGTCGATCGATTTGGTCAGTTTCTAAAAGGTAGTAAATTTGAAACTAAAACGATTCCAAGGGGGTGGTTTTGTGACTGAAATGCACAATGGAGAAAGAAGGAGAAGAAAAAGGATAGAGAGGAAGAACATGCATGGAAGAAGGAAGAGAAGAAAGAAGTGAGAGAAAAAGAAAAAGAGAAGAAGGAATGAGTCATGGGATAAAGAAAGAGAGAGAAATTGAAAAGTAGGATAAGAACACGAATGGCTACTAAAGAGCCACGTAGGTGGGGAAGAAAAAAATAAAAAAATAAAATATAATAATAATAAATAAAAGTATATAAAATAAATAAATATAATTATATATAAATATAACTCACGTGAATCCCTGAAACATAATTTTTTTTTATTTTACATTTTCTCACTCATGTGGCTATCTATTAGCTGTCCCTTTTTGTTCTCTTTATTTTCAATTGATTTCTCCCTCTCTTTTTTTCTCTCCTACTTTCTCTCTCTTTTCTTCCCTTTTACTCCTACATCTTTCTTCTTTTTCACTCATTTATCATTTATCCTCTTGTTCCTCTCTGTTAGTTCTCTCTCGTGGAAGAAATTTTAGATTTTTCCTCTCTTTTTCTTTTAGGTAGATCAGTTGGTCGGTTCTTGTGATATTAGAAGAACCGATCGACTGACTTGTCGATTTTTCACGGTAAAAAATCAACACCGACCGATTTGTCCTTTAAACCGACCGACCGACGTCGGTTTTAGTCGGTCGGATCAATTTTTCGGGTTCGCTTGCTCACCCCTATCAATAATAGAATAAAATAACACAACTATCAAGAATTAATAGTAAGTTCAAGTGGATTAAACTCTGGAGCATGACTTCACCGATATTGTTCTTTAACTCTTTTATTATTTTATTCGAAACTTTTCTAAACCATGGTTGTTGACAGATTCTACTCTATTGACTCGATATTATTTCTAAAGCAATACGATTTTTTTCGAAAAGTAGAGTATCTATATCTCTATGACTACTCGGACAATTAAAATAATTAAGCAGGTAGAACCCAAAAACTATGACACAAAATTCACAAGAATATGATCTCTATATCTCTTGCTTTAATTTGGGAGAACTATTCCGATCTAGTTAATAATCTTGTTTCTCAACCTCGATTTATGACAAAGAATCAATGTAAATAATGACCAAATCTAAAAAATGCATTAAGAATAGAAAAAAACCTCACAACCAACAAGTTTAGAAAGAAAATCAAATAAAGAAGAAGAAAGTAAAGTTTGATATAGGCTACATCAATACCCTAGAAAATGTATTTAGTTCATACTTGAATCCAAAAAGAAAATCTCAATCAACATAAAGAAGTCGAAGCTAAAGGAGAGAAAGAAGAAGAGAAAGAAACAAAATCCTGCGATCTCTCGAGCCTCCGTTATTCGCGTTCCTCTCGATCTTCTCAAAATCCCAACTTTTCTCTCTAAAAATGTTGTCTCTTCTCCTCTTTTTTTCCACCTTTCGGCTAGGGTAAAAATAAGTTTAAAAATGCAGGTTCTGTTCGCAGCGCCTAGGCGCTCAAACGCGTACGAGCAAAAACACCGCTTCCAACTTCGCCTAGGCGCCCAATATTCTCCAAGTCGACACCTAGGCGCCCAACATTCTGCCATTTTGTCAATTTTCGGCGTCCAAAGCACTGGAATTTGGCTCGCTTTTGCTTCTTTATTTGCTCTTTTTCTCATTTTCTTCAACTCAAGTCCTACAAAACAAAGAACTACTAAAAACGATTAAACTACTCAAAGAAAATGTCGGTAAAAACTAAACTCAAAAACACCCTAAATTACTAGACCCAAAAGTCACTCATCAGTATCCTTGAAAAAATTTAAACCTGAGATTTTACCAAGCCTCTTGTAGCATCTTCATGTGTCATTTTTTTAATCACTCCAATAGAACAATTTATTGCAATATTTTGTTCGATTTTTTTAGTCAGGTTAACATAATTATTCCAAGATATCTATGTTTCTTATTTTTTTTCCTATTTTTGAAAACTTTTTTAAAATAATAAACCAAAGAAAAGTAGTTACTAAAAAAAGAACTTGTTTTTTATTTGAATTTTGGCTAAAAATTTTGTTATTGAATAGATTGAAGTATAGAAAGTGGAAGTGGGAGTGGGACAGAATGTAATGAGATGAAAGTTGAAGTTGTTAGGGTTATTAAAATTAAAATATCATCCACTCGGTACGAAAAGAAATTTTCTATTGATAAAAAAAAAGTAGGTCTTTAATCTGCTTTGAAAAAGGTTCTGGGAAAGATTATTGTTTTTGACTAAGTGGGCATGGATAAGATTATAAATCTTGAAGACATAATTAGATTTTGCCTTTGCTTTTCTTTTTTAGTTTTTAGTTTTTAAAATAAAATCAATATAACAACTTATTCTTCAATTTTCAAAATTCAAAGCAGAATAAATTTAGAGTACATAGAAGTATATTTTTAGAAATATTATAAAAATAATAAATTATAAAAAATATTTAAATTAACTATTTCACCCTTTTCTAAACAAGTTGAAAAGAATTAATATTAATATTAAATAGATATATCCTTTTTTATATTTTCTTATCCTTAGGTTGGTGTCAAACTTATGGACACACATGAAAATGTCGATACGTCAACGGAAAATTTGATACCCTGAACATAACTCGGTTGTACACATTTACCTCATGGGTTTGATGTTTTTTGCCCTGGCCTGAGGTTTGACATAAATATAGCAGTAAAAATATTTAATTTTATGACAAGATAAAAGTTGGAGAGACAAATTCACTTTTTGAAAAATCTTTTTAACATATTATTTTTCATACAATTAAGTCAGGGTAAAATTTAGAGAAATTAAAAAAAATAAATCCTTTATAAAAAAAACAATTTGTTTTATTTAATTTAACAATCATCTCATCTCAAATTTGCGAGTGATTTAATGAACCCATCTTTCTTATCTACCATAATTTTCTACCAAACTTCACTTTTACTGTTTTTTATAAGTTCTTTTTAGAAAAAGAAAAAAGGAAAAAGGACAAGAAAGACGATCAAAAGTGGGGACATGTATAACCTTAATTTCTGGTAGATTACTAGGAAACCCTTTGGAAATTGTCCAGAAATTATAAATAAAGGGATCAATTGTCAAAAAGCATGTGTGAATGGTACTAAAAAAGTTAAAAAAAGCATGTGTGAATGTTCAATTAATTTATTATTTTTCTAACAATAAAGTGATTAATAATATATTTAAAGTTGTCTGGAATTGCTAAATTAATTAATATTTTTTCTATAGGGGAAATTTCATATTTTACTATTAATTTTTAACTTTAAACTTTCAATTTCACGCCTTACACTTTAAATTAGTTGTTTTTTTTACTATTTTTAAATATGGGTCATTCTAATTGTGTTGTACACCTTTCAATAATGATGAAATGGCAAAAGAGTGCGCTTGGGTGGATCCGAGCTCTCTGCAACTCTACTAAGATTTCTGACGTTTATCCTCACTTTGTGAAGAATCAAAATCGGAATTAGAAAATCCTCGAACATTGATTGAGATGGTTGTATGATCATTAACATATATATGTTTGTTTTTTTTATTTTTCGCACAATTAGAGTTGTTTTTCTCCGATCTTTATTATTATCACATTCAAGTGTTTGGATGTGATTGATTTGTAATCTTATCACCATAAAAATATTATTTTATCATTCCTGACTTACAAAATCTAGGATAAATATTAGAAAGTAAATATAACAGAACACATATGAATAATTAATTTAAAAAACTAATTTCATACAAAACTTCTAGTTTTTTAATTGAAAACTTTAGACAACAACGAACAAGTTTCTATTTATTTTTTTAATAAAAAATAACAACAAATAAAGTAGTCATCCAACACAATTATGTTTTTATTTTAAAAGTAGGAAACATGTCTCATTCTCACTCCACATATCTCGTTCTCTCCACTTTTATTTGGTAAAATTTCCATCTCAATTGTCTTTTTCTCTAATGTATAACTTCTTTTTTTCCTCCCAGCTAATTTCTCTCTAAATTCTCTCAATCTTCCTAGAATTTTTCCAAACCTTACTTAAATACCAATTACTTTTAAGTAAGGTAGCTTGCTCCTAAAAGGAGGAACGAGACAACCTCGGAGAACCTCCGACTACACATGAGTTCCATAGCACTAGCTGTCTAAACTCAACGGCCAATAACTTCTATCATGACTTTCATAGCTTACTACTAGCTACTTAGCTACTAGGCTCGGAAGCAAACTCACTTTAAGAGCGAGGAGCGAAGCCGCTTTACCATGTTGACGAGGGGAAAGAGCGGTGTGCTTTTAGCTCTTTCAGACAGGGAAACCATAAATATAATTAAAAAGAAAAAGTTTTTCTCTAATCTCTAAAGTTTTACTTCTTTTCTTCATTCTAGGTTTTCTCTCTTACATGTTCTCACTTCAACGTATATATCTTTCACTCTCTACTTTTTCTCGTTCTAAAATTTTATATTTCAGAATATTGCAGGTGTATACATTTAATTTGACAGTCTAATGTTAAGAAAAGATAAGTGTAACCAACTCTCTCGTGGCCAACATGTATGTATAGTTAAAAAAAAATCTCTGTTGGTGGAACATATATTCGAGAGAGAAGCAATGAGGTGTCTTGAATTGTTGAAGCCGTCCACACAACCCTTATCCATGGAAAATTTGTGAAAGCAGCCGGCCCACGAGACAATATATACCTAAAACATTTCTCCTGTTACCAAATACACAGTATTAGTTATCATTACAGTGTGTGTGGTTCCATTAATTAACTCTCAAGCTTCAAAAAGCTCCTTCCTTTTGATGGATCCAAATCTGTACCTCGCCGCCATGAAAGGGGACTTGGTTTTCCTTCGAACTTTTCAAGAGACATCAAATAATCTTGAGTCCCAGCTAACCCCATCTCAAGACACAGTTCTTCACGTCGCCACAGAATTCCACCAGGCCGAATTCGCAACCGCCGCCGCCAACGACTGTCCACCGCTGCTGTGGCAGGTCAACTCCTCGGGCGACACAGCCCTCCACATCGCAGCGAGAGAGCGACATGCTGACCTGGTCACGCAATTCATCGCCTGCGCGCGGAATGCCGACGAGGGAACGGGAGAGTCCAAGCATCTTGAAGAGCTGGTGAGAAGTGTGAATTTGAAGAAAGACACGGCCTTGCACTGTGCTGCGAGGAGTGGATGTTTTAAATCTGTGAGGCGGCTGGCGAAAGCAGATCCTGAAGTTTGTAGCTTTGTGAATAGTGCTGATGAGTCTCCCATTTATGTTGGCATTGCCTCTCAATTTTGGGGTATCCATCAGCATATTATAAAATACGCACCATCTTCAGCACTCTACAAAGGACCCAGAGGCCTCACAGCATTGCATCAAATACTGACGTTCAACATATGTCGTAAGAAAATTTAATTGAATTTATCCTTAAAGTCACAGCATGTGATTCAACCTTTTTGTTTTATTACATTCAGGTGGACTAGGTAACTTCATGCCGCTTTACTTTTAGTTTCACCCAAAAGATTTCATATACAAATAAAGATAATCTTCTCTATCACATATATATTCATGATCTTCTTCTAACGTGGGACTTTAATTGCACATTTCCTTACAAATCCAATGTTATGATTGAGTTTATTTCTACTTTAAAAGAAAGTTTGTAACATTCTTGGCTTCTAAATTTTATGTTTAATAGGATACATGTTAACATTGCATTACATTGTTGGTTGTGATCTATATTGGGTTTTTAAGGGTACAACAAACTCTCACATTAGTTATCTCACATTAGTTAGGGGAGAGCATGATTTATAGTATATAGATGAAAACAATTATCTCCATTGGTATCATACAATTGCGAAGATACTTGGAGTATTTGGGATACCGTTGTCGTTAACAAATGATATAAGGTCTATGGTCTAAACCTAATTGAGTCGGTGAATTCTCCAGTGTCAAACTAAGAAGTGGCGAGTCTGATCAGAAGATGTAGTCATGGTGTAATCTGAGGAGCTCGGTGTGGATATTTGGGGTACCAACGATCTAAAACTTACTAAACACAAAATTGAAAGTTTTGGGACTTAATTAGATACTACCTTTTAAAGTTTTTGTTGTTTGTTTGGTTTTGTTTTGTCTCAGCACTAGAAGAGATTGAGATTCTGGTGAAATGGAGGCCAGAAATGATAAGAGAAGGTGACGACTTAGGAATGATCCCTCTTCACTATGCTGCTCTTCGTGGGAAAATTGATGCAATTAAGTTGTTTATTCAATACGATAGCTCTGCGATCTACCTGTTGACCAATAATGGGGAGTCTGCTCTCCATATTGCTGCTTTTCAAGGCTATTCCAACGCATTAAAGGAGCTCATAAATTGTCGTCCTGATTGCTACAATTTAATCGACAACAAGGGTCGAACACCCCTTCATGCTGCAGTTTTAGGCAAACGAAGAGCTACTGTGGAGTTTATATTGAAAACACCGCCGCTTGAAAGGTTAATAAACAAGCAAGATTGTGATGGCAACACAACTTTGCATTTGGCTGCCCTCCACAAGTTTTATGATGCCATTGAAGTTATTACCAACCATAAAATAGCGACTTGGCAAATTGCCAACAATGAATTCTCGACGCCTTTTGATGTTTATAAAAAACATGACCAGGTAACTACTCTTCCCTTCTCTTCTCTTGTTTTGTTATTTTTCCAATCATAAAAGGAGAAATACGGATAAACATATATGACTTTAATCCCTACATATTGAATTGGAGGTGTGTTTTTGTTGAATAAATCAGTGCAACTCAGTCACTACTTGTAAAAAAAATTAGCACAAAAAAAAGAGACGATCATATTGTCTTAGGAAAAAAAAATTCAATCCTACAATCATTCATTATGTTTCACATCAGCATCATGTAATAACGATATGAAGTCTAGTGCTATTAAAAAGTTATTTTATAAAAGAAATTTATGGAAAGGATTACATATTTTTGTTAAACCTGTAGGAAGGATTAAAGGCGGCAGTAGCTTGTTACAATCTAAAGAATTTCAAGGGTCCACTGGCAGTGCAACAATATGCCAGCGGAAAACTAGAAAAGATGAACAAAGAAGCTGAAAACGCGAGAGAGGAAGAGACATCAACAAACAACAAATTAAAATTAGATAAAAGTTCAGATTTTGGACTAGAAAGTGCACTGGAAGTGAACCTGTTGGTGGCGATGCTGGTGGCCACAGTAACCTTCGCTGCAGGATTCACAGTGCCGGGTGGGTTTATCAGCAGCGGAGAACAGGAAGGGCTCGCCATTCTCACCAAGAAACCATCTTTCGTGGTGTTTACAGTGCCGGGTGGGTTTATCGCCCGTCATGAAGAAGCTCGTGTTCGGTACATTGGGATTGCAGCAGATTCCACCACTGTTGCCATTCTTGCGATGGTGTTGGCATTTTGCTCGGGCACTTACGTTGTGCTTACAAAATCAACCCCACTCTCTGTCACTCCTTACATTATGACTGCTTTCTTTATGGTTTTATACTTTGCCCTTCTCGTGGCTGACCCCGGGGTTGATGGCCTTCCATGCCTTTGTGGGTTTCAAAGATTCATACGTGGCATTGTAATTCGACATGTAAGATGCTGAGTAATAATACTCCTAATCAAAATTTATGCCTCACGATCGTGACTTTTTAGGCTCGTCAATTTCACGTTTTTGTTTCTGGCAGACAAGATGATCACATGAAGAGCTGTGATACTATATCAACATTCGAGTTACATCTCAAAAGCAATTGAGAATTAGAAGGGTAGTTCATATCTATGGGTGTTGGAACTGTGTGATAATGGACACCCACAAGTTTGGAATCAACAAGATTTGTTTGAGTAGCTTTCTTCCTGGGACAATCAGTTTAGCCATTCCTATCTCAAGTCTGATAGGATTCTTCCTCTTCAAACAAAGGAAGAAACTCTTCTTTATGATCCAACTCCCCCTTCCAAATTGTCTTGAGCCCTAGCACCACCCTTATTGCCAAAATCTCCCTAGAATCCAGAGGTTCTATCAACCACTCACCTCCTATCCTACTCCTCCACCCTCACCTAAAATCTGCCCAAGTAAGCCTTAGCCACGGAATCCAAGAGCTTGTGAGGTACCTTCCTTAGGTTCTTTTACCTCTCTTTCCCATCAAGCCTCTTCAAGGAA